ACAAAACGCTGTAAAATGGGCAAAGGGCAGCCCTGTAACATACTTTAACTGTAGAGGAAAGATGCTGTTTCTTTCAAATATAATAGCTTCACCGCTACTCAGTAGTGGAAGGAGGTGATGCAATGTCACTTTTAGCAGAAGCATGAGACAGATGTCTGCAGAGGGAGAAAGGTAATTCGGTCAATGGGAGAAGGCTTCAGTCACAAAGATATTTTAGAGCTAAATTTAACCAATGTCAGGGAATCGTCCAAGATGTGCTGGGTTTTCCAGTGTGTCTCTAGGTGGTTTGGGATGTGCAAAACTGAAGCCAAGGCATCTGGTCCCGCTCAGCTGGAGCCAGGTTTGCAGGTGCTGGGTTTTTGTTATTGAATGGATTGAAGAAATAACTGCAACTGAGAGGTAAACCTGCCTCCTTTCTGCTGTGTGCAACGCGTGCCCGGCCCATTTGATGCTATGGCACACTGTGGGTTTGTTTGATTTTTCACTTCAGTACTGGAGCCAACCACACATCAAAACTAGGAGAATTAGAATGAAAGACAGTGTTAAAATTGTGAACTGATTGAATTGGCACCTTCTTCTAAAATGAACGCATTGCTACCCAGAAGCGATGTGTATTTAGGTACGGGTTAGTAACAGGCCAAGTGAAGTGACTCCTCAGCACGAGAAAGGGAGCTGCCTACCCCCTTGCACGGTGTGTGTGGCTCATACTCCTGCATAAACATCTCCAAATAAAGAAAAAAGCCAGCACTATTGACAAAGCAAAGTCCAGCTCTATTTATATCTGCAGTAAGGCTGCGATAATGAAAAGACGCTTTAATGTGTCCCAGGGCCTAGATGAAACACTGAAAATGTTGCTTTTAAGAAAAAAATGATAATATCCCCTTGAAATCCTGGGGAAATGTGTGTGACAGACTTCTTGAGAGCAATATCAAAGAAACGAAATAGGAGTTGCAGAGCATAGGGAGTTACTGCAGTTATGGGCTTTGAATTGGTTTAAATCTTTGCTTTTAAGCTTTTTTCCTAAATATCTCTTTAAAAGTAACACTTTAATGAGAGGGAAAATGGTTTACTGCCGCTGAACTCTAGCAGCAGTGCAGATCTGTCAGACCTTACCTTATTTTGGAGTGTAAATCCTTTCTCTACAGTCGCTCCTGCTGCCTGGCCCCTCTCGCAGGTGTCAGACTCCTGGGGGGGCACGCAGGCACTGGCGGGGGCCGGGAGGAGCGGTGTGAACGTCTGCAGAGGAGGACAGACGGGTGAAAATGTTCTTTCAGCACAAGATTTGCAGCTTTATAGTTAGAAAGGAAAGGAATTTTCCTTTCCATAAAGTCTTTTAGGGGCTTCTGGGTTTTTTTTTTTTTGAGGCAACTGGAAACTTGGAAAAAGGAAAATATTTAGTCAAAATACTGTCTTTCATTTCATCTCATTGCATCTTTGACCAGCTTTAGTCAACTGGTTGTCTCATGTCGTTGAGCAGGTGTAAAATACGGCTCCAGGGGCAGAAAATGCCCTCGAGCACTTCTGAGTGGGTTTGCAGGTTCCACAGCTCCGCTGGTGGCACTGTCCCTTTCTCTAAGAAGCCTCATCACAAATCATTATTTTGGCCTCGTTTATGAGTTCAGGGGAAGGGCTGCAAAGAGCAGCACTCACCGAACAGGATGCAGTGGCCAGAGCCCATCACCTCCCTGGTCCCCGCTCCCAGGACATCCCCAGGTCCTCACCCAGGCTCCCCCAGCCAGGCTCTGGCCACTTTGAGACCAACACGTGCCTGATGCATTTTATTTTAACCTTTCCCAGTCAATACCTGCTGTGTTCATTTCTAGCTTGCCTTTGTATCTACTTCTACTAGATCAGACTGCTATACTCATTTAGTTAATTTGATGATAACAAGATATTACGAAAATCCCACTTGGCAGAAGCAGAGGTGGGCAGTGATCATATAGAAATGTACTGATTTTTATTAACCACGTCATCCAAAAGAGTTAAATGAAGGGAGCAAACTATAAAGCTTAGGCTATTTGTTAAAGTTGAAAAGAGATCCGGTTTTGAGTAGTGGAATTTGGTTTTTTGAAGCATGAATGATGATATTCACCCTTTGCCCTTGGAGCAGGGAACGTGCTTGCTTTGGACCATTTGCAGCCCTGAGCGTGCTGTTGGCACGCATTAGATAACTGTTATTATTAACAATGCACAGATGTATTGGCAGTTGCTTTTAGGTAGTCAGGCCAGTTGGAAAGAGTATGAAAGAACTTATTAAAGACAGATATTCTGGTGTGAGTTAGAAGATGAAAAGGAAAAGAAATTCTGGTTTATCTGTGTAATTAAAGGCACACTCTCCAGAGGAAAACAAGCAAAAGCATACATAGTGCATGCCCAATTTTTGAAGGTTAACCACTTTAGCTTGCTGAGAGATAGAAAGACAAAGAGTAAAGCTATATTTTTACCTTCCTTTTGTCCCTTAGGTGCCCATTTGCAAATATAAATGGGCAGGTGCGTGTGTATTATTTATGTTAAAAGAAGATGAAGGTTGTAAGGACAAGCACCTTGAAACTGGGACACGCCAGAATTGCCATTGCTTGGGCAGTCTCTGTGTTGGCCAGCCAGGCTGGTTCTGTTACCTTTCTGCGGGAGGGAGCTGCGCAAGAAGAGCAGGCAGGTCGGCCGTGGGCAGTGCCGTGCCTTGGGCCGTGGCGTGCTCTGCCCGCGCTGCCTGCTCTGCCCACGCTGCCTGCTCTGCCAGCTCTGCCGCTTGCGCAGGTGCACACGGCTGCCACGTGGGCTCTGCTGCCCGCAGGCACAACGATGGTGGCAGCCGCTGACAGCCACCACCTCCCAGCACCTCTGGTAGCCCCGGGGTCCCCATGGCCCCTCCAGCGGGCACCTGGGAGCAGTGGTGTGCCCTGGGCGGCTCCTGGCAGGGAAGGAGGTGTGAAAATGCCCACGTGCATCAAGGGGGTTGTTGGAAAAGCGGGAGACCAGAGTCGGTGTGCTCGGAGAGGGCACCTCAGGCAATCAGTGATAAAGCAGCTAGCAGCATGTTTTAGCTGCTGGCCCGTGGGTGTCTGACTGAGAGCCCCAGTGAGACATCTCTCCTTGGGCAGGACCCACGGTCCCGCTGCTGGCTGGGGCTCAGAGCTGCCCCTGTCCAAACCCAACTGCCCGAGGCTGGCAGAGGCAGCGAGGCAGTGCCATGCGGGGCCAGTGCAGGGCAGCGAGCACACGGTCCCCGCCAGAAGCTGGGCTGCCACGCTTCCCCCGCGTGGCTTCAGAGCCACTGTCCTCATCTCAGTTTATTCAGTGTTTGCTGTTGCAGGGGGAAGCCAGGCAAATCCCCGGATTCCTCCTTTTACCCGCGTAAGGACCATTTCAGGCCCATTTATATCCCCTTTCCTCCCACCGCTTCTTCACTCCTGATGCTGGACGAACGAAGCTGTACAGCCCGTCTTTAGCCAAGAACTGCTCTCAGTTGAAATCCCTCTTGCTCGTTTTTTGCATCCCACCACCCAGCCAGCTCCTAATGAAGCTGTGCTGTATTGTTGTCTCTCTGATTTCCTATTGTCGATTGGGCTGATTTTAATTGGTTTGCATTTTCAGTTGTTTTTCAGCTCATCAGGAAGGATAACTAAAATAAAATCTTGCCCTCCGTGCTCCTCTCCATCCGTCGTAGCGACACTAGCTGAGCATGTTAATCTGAAGAATGGTGAAGGCAGGGCTTAATCCCTGTGAAATGTTTGGAGGCTGGTTGTTAAGCATTACATTATTCAAAACACATTAAATTGTCCTGAATGAGGAGGAAACATGTCTCGATCATCAAGCTGATGGACATTAACAGTATTCTGCCACAAGTTTGTTAAATTTGAACTAGATTTACCTACTGCCTGCCTCATTCCCATTCTGCAACGAAAGCTGTGGACAGGAAACTGGCAAGGAGTAGGAGGCATAAATTCGAGATACCCACAGCTTGGACCGAAAGCCTTATATAAATCCTTTTGATTTCTAGACTTTAGAGAAATATGGTTGGCATTACTGCCTTCTGTCGACCAAGCAGGAAAGTTTAACTGGTAGTCCTGGATACGAATGCTTAAGAGTCTGGAGGTGGCTTTAAGATCTGAGGGTGGTTTAAATGTTACTGGTGGGGAAGAGGGGGAAGGGGAAGTAACACATTTCTCAACATTTCCAGGTTTACAAAACCTGTATGCTGAGCTAGAGGCTGTTAGAATTGGCTCAGTCTCAAAATGAGGAAAAGAGGAAAAAATATTTATATACATGACATGCAAGCAGTTAACCAGCAATTTTTTCAGCTTATTGCTAATATTTGTGTTTGCTATCTTTTAGGAAAATGTGAAACTGAATTTTGAAAGTTTGACTATTGATTCATAAAGGATTTTGTAATTACTATTTGTATCCCATGTATGAGCATCACTATTAGAAGCCACTAGAGCTGTCCTGCTCTCCTGTTTCATAGACCTGTCATCGCCGCTGTGAAAAGCGGGCTCCTGCCTTCCCTGCTCCATACTGGGAACTTGTAATAAGCAAGTGTCGGTGTTCCCTAGCTGCAAGTTAGCACAAAAACCAATGCTGAGGATTTGTGCAAAGAAGAGAGGCTTCTTTTGCATCTGTTGGCCGTGATGGATGAGCTAGGATTTAGCATCCTCCCGCTGGTTCAGTAGCAGAGCTGCATGCAGGTGGATAAACCCACCGCAGAGCAGGAACCGAGGCGCTGGGACAGGCACGCGCCATTTCTCATTCTGACTGCCAGGCTGCCAATTACATGGCAATTAGTAGAATAAATGTCTGAGATATGTTTCCCCCTCCCCAATCATTTTATGGTTTGGTCATTGTTCAGGGGGCAATGTGTCTCTCTCCGAGCTACCTTGACTTTTTTGTTAGCCTTAATCAGTTACAGGGTGTTAATACCTCTAAGCCAACTAAGCCCAAGGAGCTCAGTCCTGTGCCCTTGCCAACATGGCTCTTCATTTCCCTCCTTTCGTCTCTCCCAGAGGTCAAAAATAGCCGTCTACGAGAAAATGTGGTCGTACATGAAGTCGGCCGAGCCCTCGGTGTTCACCAAAACGACGGCGGACGGGGTGGCAAGGGTGCGGAAGTCGAAGGGGAAGTTTGCCTTCCTGCTGGAGTCGACGATGAACGAGTACATCGAGCAGCGCAAGCCCTGCGACACCATGAAAGTTGGCGGCAACCTGGATTCCAAGGGCTATGGTGTAGCAACCCCCAAAGGCTCAGCATTAAGGTGGGTGGAATAATATAACAATATCCATGTTGTTATAGTATTCCACCTACCCTGATGTATTGTGTTGTCATTTTCTTTCTTGTGGATTTTGAGGTAACTTTAAAGTTTAAAATCTTCAATATTCCATGGAGTTAAATAAGACGGTAAATTATGGTTTCGTTTATTTAATGCATCCATTTTTTTAGTGTTCTCTTCGTGTTGTCCTTTCTGATTGTTTGTTGCTGTTTTAATTTTACAGTTCAATGGCTTTTTCAATTTAAATGGTAAAAGCCGAGTTAACCTGCCATATGTGACGAATGTTAACTGCATGATGTGGTGTTCTTGTTACTTTTTTTCTCAAAGACGATTTCCCCATCCCGCACACTTCAGTTTTGAGCAAATGTTATCCTCCATGCCACCTTCCAATATTTAACCCTGTATTTGCTGTACAGACATTTTGATAGCTCCACGTTCTGTGAAATTTTAGCCAATTTGTCCTCTTGTGCTCCTTTTTTTATACGTTACGATTTCCTAAGCATTTGTGCATTTTTTCTTACAAGTTATGTTTTATCGTTTCAAGAAATGCTGTTAACCTGGCAGTATTAAAACTGAATGAGCAAGGCCTCTTGGACAAATTGAAAAACAAATGGTGGTACGACAAAGGAGAGTGCGGCAGCGGGGGAGGTGACTCCAAGGTCAGCCTCAATGTCACCACAATCGGGTACCTTAGCAAAGAGTAATCGGCAAGGCTGTTATTTCACTTCTCAAGGAAAAAAAAACAAAAACAAAACCAAAAAAGAACGCAGATTAAAACGATTTGAATAATTGTGGTGGGGAAAAAAATGCCATTCGCTTGCCCAGTAGCTCTTTCAAAGAAACGGTCTTATTTAATATTGTCAGCAGGCTTGGTCAAGCTTGGAAACCTTATTTAACTAACAGATAGAAAGTCCAGTATTGGTGGGACCTAGGCAGAGCAAATCAGTACTTGTAACTGTACAAGAAATCAGTGATCACATCTGGCTGCCGTACTAACCCCTGAGGACAAGGCTTCGGTCCTTCTCCATGATTTAGCTGTGATGCAGAGTGGGTTTTGAGAGGCTTTTTTTGCCAGGATCAGCTGTGCCAGCACAGACCTGCAGGTGAGAGGGCTCCCTTCTCTTTTGCTCTTTTGGGGAGGGGTCAAGCAAACCAGTATGAGCACATGTTGCTTTACTGGCCTCAGCTGGAGCCCCTGGGAGGAAGCCTGGTCTCTGGAGAAGAGCTGCCTGGGTAGGTCTGGAGCTCAGGGAAGGAAAGGGTGGCTGCTCATCTAATTGCAGCATGGGGTCAAGAGATAAGAGTTAAGCAAGGATCATAGCAAAGACACAATGTTACACACAGGTGGTAGCCACCCGTTAATGGTAAAACAATAGCAATAAGGGTAATGTGTAAGGAGCTAGAGCTTGCAATAGGTGAAGCTGAAATGAGATGTGTTGCTTGCAACAGGGAAGTGTATTGATGCACTAAACTGGAAATGAATCTTAAGGAAAGAGGTTTTGGTAGTTTTGCCTAGAATATTCAAAAGTCACCTTTTGTACACCACTGACCAGTCTTCTGCACACACCTGTGCAGGAGCACTGTGTCTGTGTTTGCTGTGCTTTTTATACAGATGTGGATTAAAGTCCTAGCTCCAGTGACAGCAGTGGCAAAGCTGTCACTGCCTTCTGCTGAGCTGAGGCTTCCCCCAGTCTTTCAGGCAGCCTGTACCGCAGCGAGACTCTCAAAGGTGCTTTAATGAGCTTGTGCATTGCAAAAGTTAACTAGTGTGCTTTCATATTGCCAACCTCACCCTGTAAAACCGGCAATTTGTGCAGTCTTTAACCTGGTGAGAAGCTGTAGCTAGAGTAGGCTGGGTACTATTGGTCACCTTGGGTACAGGAATTGCCAAGAAAATTAATTTAAAATGCAGTGTTATACTGAAAAGTACTGAGATTAATTTTCATAGTGACACTCTCCTACAGCTACTATAACCAGTTCCTTAGGGAACAGTAACTCCTAATCTCTCTTACAAAAATGCTTCAGCTTTCGTCCAAAATCAATAATAACAGTATTTTCAGTAAACTCCAGTTTCGGACAATTACGGCAAATTACTTCTGCATTCTATTAATGAGTTGCTTACAGTTGGCTACGTAGGAAATTGCTTAGCTGCTCACCTCTGGTGTTAGCGAAAGCCACTGTGTAATAATAAAAGAAGGAAAAGCTCTCGAATTCAGGTTTGTTCAATAACCGGAGGTCTGCAGTGCTCAGCAGCAGCCTGGAGATGAGTGCAAGCTTTTTTATGCTTTTTAGCTCTACTGCTCATCCTTCACGCAACATTTTTATGTAACATTATACTTGCCAGTATATTAAATGTTTAATATTCTCCTGGGATCCAGCACTGCATTGTCTAATGCTGCCTCCATGAAAAAAACCTCTTTGTACAAACCAGCTTCAATGAACTTCATTGCTTTGAGTTCATTGAATTAAACCCAGCCAACGAATGCTTACAGCCCGAAGGAAACTAAAAAGCATTTTAGAAATGGTCATAATTAGGGCAGGGTCATCCTTCTATTTTTGCTTGTGTTGAAAGACCTTTTACAAAGAGCGATCCCATCCGTTAGCAAGCCCTTGGCCCTGCTGAGTGAATGTTAGGGGAGTGGAGTCAGGTGTGCTGTGATACCAGGGACAGGTATCCAGCGAAGAGGGAAGGGGAGCAAACACGATGACGTGTGTTTTGCTGTTTTAATCCGTAAATCACAAAGCGCTGTCTTTCTGCAGTTTGTCATAACATGCTGTGATGAAGGACTACTTGTTTGTTTGAGCTACAGACGTTGGCTCTCGGGGGCACGGCTTAGCCTGCAGAAGTCCCCAGGGAGGAGAACGTCGGTCAGAGAAGACCTCCCACAGAAGACTAAGCTAGGGGAGGCGGGGAAGGGGTTAGTTGTTGTTTCTAGAGATGTTGTAAATCAAAGGGCTTTTTTGTTACAAAGTGGTAGCATTTTGTAGGCACTGAATGCTGCAGGCTGCGATGCCGCAGTGTTGCAGCAGACAGGCAGATGCCTTCCCGGCAGCGCACACCCCTGTCATCGGCCACCAACGCCGAGCTCAGGCTGTGCCCCAGCCCCGTGGGAGCCCCGCTGCCCTCTCGGGGAAGGCGGGCACCGGTGCTGCTGTCCTGGTGCCATGGCCCTGACAGTCTCGCTGGCCTCTCTCCTCCTCTCCATCCTCCCACCAGCAGCCTGAGTTGCCCTCATCATCTATCCCATCTCTGCGGTTAATTGTTTATATGAACACAACTTCATTTATATAGCATTTCAGAGGAGTCGCTTCAAAACTGTTCTTTTTTCCCCTTTTCCCCTAAAGGCGGTGGTAGCTGGGGGGAATCGGAGAGGATGGGGTGGTGAAGGTGCCGCAGGTGGAGATGCAGACCTCGCGCCCCGTCACACAGGGCGGCACGGGGACCATTACTCACTCGGGGCAGCTCTCTCTACCGGTGAAGCTGACAGACCACCTCTCTTAGCTTCGCCAGTAAAGACCCAGGCTTGGGAAATTGCTGCCCCGAGTTTGTAAACAGCCACTTTCTACCTACTGCCAACGAGTTGTGTGTAGCTGTGAGTCCTTGCAGACTGATAGTGCCATTTTCTTAAGCTGAATTCCTCTGTGCAATCTGATATTCTAGCTTGCGCTGAAAGCCAGAGGTAAGTATGCAGCCTGTTTGCTCGTGCCAGTGCCCATCGTTGTGCCGCAAAGGACCCAGTCACCCAGAAAATGCCCTCCCGTGCTCATCCTCCCTGCGGTTTAGCATGCAGCTTGCCTGCGCTTGGAGACGAATGATACCGAGTTGTGAGTTCACCTCTTGTTACCGTACCTTCATCGCCACTGGAAAATTAAACAGTGACTTCAAATTACACAAAGATTTTGAGTCTTACAGCGGGAAAAAGAAAAGGTATTCAAGTGACTTTCTGCAAGTTTTTTAACCTGTTTGGTTACAGACTGTAAGGTTAGTCCTCTGAGCATCCCATGCCCCTGGGGTCCACTTGTAATTTAAGACTAAAGAGGTTGTGCTGTTTTAATGAGATTTTTTTTAAAGGTCTCAGCTGACATATGTCTCATTTTCAGTGCTACCAGTATACACCAGCGCTGGTGCAGAGCAGAGGGTGCCAGTCTGCCCTGCAGTATCTTGGCTGTCAGTACTGCCCTGGCAAAGGCAGGTACCCATTTTGGTAGCGGTCCTTATTTAAGAAGTCCGAAGGGGAACGTGCTCCATCCATATGTAATTTGTCTGTGATGCACGTCAATACGTGTGGGCTGACTTGGCTGGTGCAGGCATTTTGGTACATGCATCAAAATTTGTTCACTTAGCTCTGCTAAATGAGCGTGAATTTAGTTTCATCTGTTGGATTTGTGGCAAAATTATACCGTCTTCAGATTCCCTTATACATGTGAGCTGAGTTCTCAATCATGAGAGAATGCAAAACAGCAGTTATAAAAAAACCATATTCCAGGAAATATGTTACAGTGTATTACAAGTTTGGAAACTAATTATTTTATTTATTATACAATCCTATAATCTCAGAGCTGAGTGATGGCTGAATAGGAATTTAACAAGAAATAGACAAAAGGGGATGCAGACGGTGGTAGCAGGCTGAGTGACTTAAGTGAAACTAATTATTCAGTTGCATAGGAACAATTTTCTGCTAAGATAAATTTCTATAGTTTCGCTGTTGATACATTTCTTGTATTCTGATACCTTCACGGTAACATTTAATGACAACCAACACAGAAGGAGATTGTCTGAATGCAGCATCTCGCCAACTTCACACGCCAAGATTCCTTGCTAATTATTTGACTTAATTTCTTTAATGTATTCTTTTTTAGGCTGATATCTCTTTTGGAGTACATCTGTGAAGTGACATGCGGTGTAATACTACATTTTTCAGTTGTTTCTTTTTAATCGTAGGATTACTTTTCCGGCGTGCTAGTTGAGTTCTGCCCTCAGAGCCATGCTCCGTAAAGCATCACATTCCCAAGCCCTTCCAAACTGTGAGTGTGGCCATTAGCAGATGGGATTTGTTCCCCCATTTCTCTGTGCTATTTTGCTTTGATACATTTTCAGCACAGCCGTTAGCATTTGCGGCATAATTTTTTTTAAGTGGCATATTTTTAGAAGAAATCTGTTATGCATTATTTTAGATGATACCTGACATCTAAAGAGCACCATTGCCAAACGTGTTGTGCTTTAAAAAGAGCATTTGGGGAAATGGCTATCTTAAAAAGATGCAGCACAATTTATTTGAGCAATTTGCTTGAAATTATGCTCATCAGCATGAATTTACTTGCCACCCATTCTAGTCCTGGGTTATGAGCTGGAAAAAGATAAAATGGCTGGTCAGAGCCAGTGATAGTAGCACAGAGCTAATTCATGCTCAGAGCTAGGAAAGTAATATGAAATTATTGTATTGTGCAAATTAGTGACAAAGCAAAATAATACTTTAAAAGGAAGACATCAGAATATTTGTTTAATTGACAGCTATTACTTCATAGCATATTAGGAAATAATACTGGGTATGTTTTGTGCCAATAATGAAGTCTTAATGCTCTAGCAGTTCATCGGAGCATCTCGCTTAGAGCATTGCCAAGAAGGGCAGAGAGCCTGCTCTAGTTTGCAGAAATGTCT